CTAAAAGTCTACTAGTTAATGACTTGATTTGTGATAATCACATTGACTTGTTTTGCCTTACAGAAACCTGGCTGCAGCAAGAGGATTATGTGAGCATAAATGAGGCAACTCCTTCAAGCTATTTAAATTTTCACATACCCAGAAGTTCTGGGCGAGGAGGAGGAGTAGCAACAATCTTCGAGTCTGACTTACTGATTACTCCCAAAACAATTAATTCCTACAACTCTTTTGAACATTTAACCCTTAATTTCCCTGATCCAAATTTCAAGGCAAGAAAACCTCTTCTTTTTGTAACTTTGTATCGTCCACCAGGTCCTTACTCTGAATTTTTAGATGAGTTTTCAGAGTTCCTTTCTGATTTGGTATTAAATACTGACAGGGTCATCATAGTGGGAGATTTTAACATCCATGCTGACATTGAAGGCGATAGCTTAAGAGCAGCCTTTAATGCTATCTTAGACACTATTGGCTTTGTTCAAAATGTGAATAGTCCCACGCATTCTCATCTTCATACTTTGGATCTTGTGCTGACATACGGCATAGAATGTGAAGAAATAACAGTATTTCCTCACAACCCTGTCCTCTCTGACCACTTTCTAATAACCTTCAGGATTACTTTAACAGAGTTCTCCTCCCCCAAAAGAAGGTTCAATTTTAGTAGATCTTTATCAGATAGTGCAGTTATAAATTTTAAAGAATCTGCTTCACTTTCTCTCTGCTCTGTGTCACTGAGCAGTGCTGCAGAGTGCAAAAGCTTAGCTTATTCCCCTTCACAGGTTGATGATTTTGTTGAGGGGGTTGCTAGTTCTCTGCGTATTGCCTTAGACAACGCAGCTCCTTTGAAAATGAAAACCGTTAAAAATAGAAAGCTTGCTCCTTGGTTTAATGCAGAGCTGCGTACTTTGAAGCAAAATGCTAGGAAACTGGAGAGAAAATATCGCTCCACAGGCCTGCGAGAGTCCTTCCTAGTCTGGAAAAATGGTTTACTGCTGTATAAGAGGACCCTTTTAAAGCAAGAGCAGCATACTTCTCCTCATTAATAGAGGAGAATAAGAATAATCCTAGATTTCTTTTTAATACAGTTGCCAAACTCACCCAGAACCATAGCTCTGTTGAACCGTCCATTCCACCTGCTCTTAGCAGCAATGATTTTATGGGATTCTTTATAAATAAGATTGATCTTATTAAAAATAAGATCATAAGCACTCCTCTATCCGCGATTGTACCTGAGGTAGTCATGGAATCTGAACCGGGTTTAGACTGCTTTGATCCAGTTGAACTCTCTGAATTAGCAAAATTATTGTCTTCATCTAAGCCTTCAACTTGTATGTTAGATCCAGTTCCAATCAGGTTATTTAAGGAGGTATTCCCTTTGATCTCCTCCTCCATTTTAGATGTGATTAATCTATCTCTGTTACAGGGATATGTACCTAAAGCTTTTAAGATTGCTGTAATTAAACCTCTGCTTAAGAAACCGTCTCTTGACCCAGATGACTTGGTCAATTATAGACCTATATCCAATCTTCCTTTCTTATCCAAAATTCTTGAGAAAGTAGTTGCCAAACAAGTTTGCGATCACTTCCACCATAATGAACTTTTTGAAGAGTTTCAGTCTGGCTTTAGAGCTCATCATAGCACTGAAACAGCTCTGGTGAAAGTCACTAATGATATTCTCATGGCCTCAGATAATGGACTTGTATCTGTGCTCGTCCTGCTGGATCTTAGTGCTGCATTTGATACAGTTGACCATAATATTCTTTTAGAAAGACTTGAATATTTTGTTGGAATTAAAGGAACAGCACTAGACTGGTTTAAATCTTATCTATCTGATCGAATTCAGTTTGTTCATGTTAATGATAGATCTTCAACACGCTCAAAGGTTACCTGTGGAGTACCACAGGGATCAGTGCTAGGACCAATTCTCTTTACTTTATACATGCTCCCAATTGGTAGAATTATTAGACAGCATGGGATTAATTTCCACTGTTATGCTGATGATACCCAGCTATATCTGTCTATAAATCCAGATGAAGCTAACCCATTACATCCATTACAGGCATGTCTTGAAGACATAAAAACCTGGATGACTCTTAATTGTCTGCTTCTGAATGCAGACAAAACAGAAGTTATAGTCTTTGGACCAGAGTCTCTGAAAAAGAAACTGATTAGCCAGTCACTTCATTTGGATGGGATTAAACTGATTTCAGATAATAAAGTAAAAAATCTTGGTGTTATTTTTGATCAGGACCTGTCATTTAAATCCCATATCAAAGAGGTTTCTAGAATTTCCTTCTTTCATCTGAGGAACATTGCAAAAATTAGAAATATCCTGTCCAGGGGTGATGCTGAGAAACTAGTCCATGCATTTGTTACTTCAAGGCTGGACTATTGTAATTCTTTACTATCAGGAAGTCCACAAACTGTAGTTAAAAGCCTTCAGCTGATCCAAAATGCTGCAGCCAGAGTTCTAATGAAAATGAAAAAGAGAGATCATATCTCGCCTATCCTGGCTTCTCTTCATTGGCTTCCTGTTAAATCAAGAATAGAATTTAAAATCCTCCTTCTCACATATAAAGCCTTAAATGGCCAAGCTCCATCTTATATCAGAGATCTGATTGTTCCTTATGTTCCTAACAGAGCACTTCGCTCTCAATCTGCAGGTTTACTAGTGGTTCCTAGAATTTCTAAAAGTAGAATGGGAGGCAGATCTTTTAGTTATCAGGCTCCTCTCCTGTGGAACCAACTACCAGTTTTAGTCCGTGAGGCAGACACCCTGTCTACTTTTAAGGCTAGGCTTAAAACTTTCATTTTTGATAAAGCTTATAGTTAGGGTGGCTCAGGTTATCCTGAGCTATCTCTATAGTTATGCTGCTATAGGCTTAGACTTTTGGAGGACATAGGGACCCCCATTTCATCATTCTGCTTCATTCACTCTCTGTTCTCCTATTCTGCAGAATCTGTTAGTTCAATCTCTAACCTTCTGCTCTCTCTGCTTTTCCTCAGAGTAGCTTTGCCTCGTCTGTTCCTGTTTGGCTGTGACGTCATCCTGGAAAAAAACATCAGCTGTGCTGCTTCTATCAACACCCTTGTTAATAGATGTTGGAGATCGGCCTGTTTTCCAGTGTGGTCCTGTTTCTCTGACCGTGACTGAGTGGATGTGCTCTCTTCGTCCTCTGGCATGGGAGCTGCCTTGGAGCTCGTCTGCCTGGCTGTGTGTTTCCTGGACGGGGCCGCCTTTTACAGCTGCTTTTTGTGTCTCTGCTTCTGTCTCCTTGAACCCCAGTCGGCCTCGGCAGATGGCCGCTCACACTGAGCCTGGTTCTGCTGGAGGTTTCTTCCTGTTAAAAGGGAGTTTTTCCTCTCCACTGTCGCTACAAGCATGCTTAGTGAGGGGGATTGTATTTGAGTCAATGAGTCAATGCAATCAACTGGTTTTCCTTAGATAGAAAACTTTGTATCAATTTGACTGTATGATCTGGTTTAACTGTAAAGTGCCTTGAGATGACATGTGTTGTGAATTTGGCGCTATATAAATAAACTGAATTGAATTGAATTAATTTGAGCAGGTAAATAAGATAGTTTGCCAATGGGATGAGTATTTTTACACTTAAAATAAGATAATTAGATAAAATGCACTTGAAATAAGACAATGCAATTGTTTTTTCTTATTTCAAATGTAAATTGTCTTGTTCCATTGGCAAAGTGTCTCATTTATCTACTGAAATCAGGATAAAATGCACTTATTTTAAGAAAAAATTACTTATTTAGATTTACATTTTTTGCAGTGCAGCCAAGGACCAACCAAGGACCAGCCAATGACCAGCCAAGGACCAGCCAAGGACGAGCTGCGGACCAGCCAAGGGCCCATTAAGAAAGTGGTGAAGTTTGGAATGGCTACTACTGTTTTTTAACCCATGCATGATAAAAACATGAAGACGTTGAGCTTTCTCTGTTTTTTTTTTTAACCCGGTTTTCTTTATTTCACTCGTTACATTTGAGGATGGACACAAAACGGAGACAGACACCATCACTGAACCACTTTAGCATCAGAAAACAAAGAGCTTCATCTCAATAAAAAACTAAGAGCATCTGCCAGGTGTTAGTATTCAGCCACCTTTGCTCTGATAACGCTAAAGGAATCACCAGATTAAAGTACAGAGGAGGTTTTTCTCTGGAAGGTCTCCTGAACCTGGCTGTCGTTCAGACCGGACGCGTTTCTCTCATCAAAGATGTGTCAAGCTGGAGGCTTGGTACCAGGCCTCAGAATCTCTCCAAGTTTTCGAGACACATGTTTGGAGGACTTCCCCTCAGATGTTTTCCTTCCAGATTCAGTCAGAAAAAATAAATAAATAAAAGTTCAGTTTTTCCTTCCTCTTCAGATGAAACCCATCGGAGCACGGAACGCTCTGAAACGTTCAAAGACTGCACGAAAACCTGACGCCCCAAATGCAAACGGTCTAAGCGCACCTTCACTGGCATTATGAGGTCCAAACTGGGGAGGGGGAAGTCTCAGACGCTCAGGGAGATGCTGTTATATGGAAATTAAGAGCCGATGATCGTTTTCTCAAAGGGGTGGAAGTGAATCATTAGTTGAGTCGCTGCAGAGAAAAAGGTGCAGCTGTGGGAATGGCAGTTTCACTCATGCAGACTCACATGTTCTCCTGCAACAGGAGAAATCAGAGGAAGTCCATAACATCTACCGGTATTACATAAATGAAGTGTCCCATGCTAGGTCTTGAAGCTTCTCTCCTTCCTGCATTAGCCCAGAGTCCAGAGAAGCACTGGGTTCCTCTAACATCAGCAGACTTGGTTTTTCTGCTGTTAGCTAACGGAGCAGCAGGCGGCGTAACTGAAGCTAAGGGGCTAATGTGAAGCAGCTGTGCTTCAGACCAATAATCGATGAGCAAACATTACATCAGTGGGCCTACTGGTTAAAGGTAGCATGAAGTCCCCCTCCGTGACCTAAATCAGAGACAAATAAATAAAACTGCCATTTTTTCCATGTTTGCAGTAAAGAAAGGAAACAAATCAGGAACCAAGAAGATGCTTCTGACAAAAAAAGCAAAATCCGTTTCTTCCTTTGTTTCTTGAAAGCGTCTCTGTAAACCAATCAGGAGGGTTGGCGGAGCCATTGCGTGTGAGTGTGTCGATGGGTGAGTGTGTATGTGGGTGCGGCTCCTCTGTCCGCCCGTCTACCCCCAGCTGAGGGCAGCAGTCAGGAGCAGCAGTCCCGGCGTAGCGCCAACTGATGCGGCGCCCCCTGTTCCAGATGATCCCAGGTTGGAGACCGTGGCTCTCTCTGAGTACAGCGAGATCACATCAAACTGGTCTCCTTCCTCTGACTCCTCCTCTTCCTCCGTCTGAAACAACTCGTCCTCCTCGCTCTCAACCACCTGTTGGGATGAAGGCAGAGTGAGGAGAGAAAGATTATTGTTCAAAACGGGACTTGAAAAACAAACTAAAAAAGTTATGGAGAGTGACTTATAATGGGGAATCAATATACATATTTATATTTCCTCCTTTTAGACTTTCACATTGCAAGAGAGGAAACTAAAAAAATGAAGCAAATGAACTTTAAAAATGATCTTAGAAAACGTCTACATCAGAAAAATCTAAGAATAACTTAAAGTAGTAATGCAAAAGTTCAAACAATATTTTGTTTGGAAAATCAGTTTTTCACAGATTTTCCAAATGTGCTGCTGTTGCTGCAGTCCAGTTACAGCCGACTGATCCAGATACGAACCACATAGGAGAGCACGGGGTTAAATATTAAAATAACATTTTTAAAACTCAGTCTCGTAAAAAATGTGGAAAAATAAAAACTGAACAAAAAAAAAAATCTATGAAATAAATTAATTCTAAATTTTGGAAACATGTTATAAATAACTGTTGAAACCTTTTTTTTTTTTTTTATCAAAATTATTTCTAAATTTCCATTTTTGAATCGCATTTTCTTCAAATGTCTCTTGTTCTTTGTTAGGAATGATATTGGAACATCTCTCTTCATAGAGCAGTGAATAAAGTGCAGCAGCATGAACAGCTTTCCATACCCTGAGCTGAACATCAGAGCTTCAGCTTGACTTTTCACCCAGGCTTTTTAACACCATGCAGACTAAAAGGCATGCCTCACTGACGATTTATCAATAATTGTCATAATTATCCCATTGGCATAATTACATTCAAATACCTGCTGTTGTTCTCTATCCAGGTTTTTAACGGTCTTTTAAGGAAATACAGAAACCCATTTCATTCACAATCTGATCCCCTGTGATGCTTCTATTACACCCAATTTCAAGAGAAGTTCAACCTCAGGCAGTTTTTAACACCTGCAACATGTCCTACATGTAGCTCTACTAATCTAATATTTTTATTCCTCCAAATATTACCTAATAAAAGGAAGACCACTTTAACTCCTGCTCTGTCTGTATCAACAGACCGGTCCTCCCCACTGGCCTCAGATACCGCCCTCGGTTAGTGCACCAGCAGAGCTGAGTGGTTTGATGTTTAAAACATGTTTACAGAGATAATTACAGTCTGCAAAGTTCATCAGCAACAACTCATACTAAACCGGCATGCTAACGTTAGCCTCACATTTCAGCAAATGCAGATAAAGACCTTCTGACAACAGCTGGATGTAAAAAAGAAACTGAGGATAGGAGTCATTTAGGGTTGTTCTATGATTGACCTGTCTACTTTCCCATCTACATTCAGTTTGATACTTTTTCTACTCTGTGCAGCCATTCTCTATTGTAGCCAGTATTCTGGAAGACTATGGGGCAGCATAGCGCAAAAGCTGCAAGCTTGCAACACCACAACACCCAGTAGAAGGAGAAAACACAGCAGTCTACAACACTTTCAGTGCCTCGTTGTGTCATCCAAAAATAACTGTCATCTCTTTCCAATAGTTGGTCATTGTTACTACACCAGAGTGACATTTATAGGCCAAATAAAAACATGTCAGTAGATAGTTGTATCTTCCAACTTCTGCCAGTAACAGCATCTGATCAGGGTCAAAAAGGTATAATCAGGAAAAAATTCATGAAAGGATAAAAATGTAAAACTCATCACTAAATGATGGGATATTTTACAGTTTAATCTTCTACAAACAGATCCCTTTGCAGTACAACTGAGATTGAAATAATCCTATCCTGTTTCGTGTTTTGTCTTGTTACACGTGTTGTTACTTTAAAGTGCCTTGAGATTAGTGTTGTGAATTGGCGCCATATAAATAAACTGAATTGAATTGTTACGTGTTTTGTCCTGTTACATGTGTTATCCTGTTAGACAAGTTGTTCTTTTATGTGTTTTGTCCTGTTCCACGTGTTGTTACTGTAAAGTGCCTTGAGATGACGTGTTGTACATTGAATTGTTATGTGCTTTTTCCTGTTACAAGTGTTATTCTGTTACATGTTTTGTCCTGTTATGTGTGTTATTCTGTTTTATATTTTGTCCTGTTCTACTTGTTATCCCGTTACACGTGTTATCCTAATACATGTGTTATCTTGTTACGTGTGTTATCCTGTTACATGTTTTTTCCAGTTAAACGTGTTATACTGTTACGTGTGTTATCCTGTTATGTGTTATATTGTTTTGTACTGTTCCACTTGTTGTCCTGTTACATGTTTTGTACTGTTACACTTGTTGTCCTGTTACATGTTTTGTACTGTTCCACTTGTTTTCCTGTTACGTGTTTTGTACTGTTACATGTGTTGTCCTGTTACGTGTTTTGTACTGTTAAACTTGTTGTCCTGTTACATGTTTTGTACTGTTACACGTGTTATCCTGTTACGTGTTTTGTACTATTACACTTGTTGTCCTGTTACATGTTTTGTACTGTTAGACTTGTTGTCCTGTTACATGTTTTGTACTATTACACTTGTTGTCCTGTTACATGTTTTGTACTGTTAGACTTGTTGTCCTGTTACATGTTTTGTACTATTACACTTGTTGTCCTGTTACGTGTTTTGTACTGTTACACGTGTTATCCTGTTACATGTTTTGTACTGTTAGACTTGTTGTCCTGTTACATGTTTTGTACTATTACACTTGTTGTCCTGTTACGTGTTTTGTACTTTTACATGTGTTATCCTGTTACATGTTTTGTACTGTTACACTTGTTGTCCTGTTACATGTTTTGTACTGTTAGACTTGTTGTCCTGTTACATGTTTTGTACTATTACACTTGTTGTCCTGTTACGTGTTTTGTACTGTTAGACTTGTTGTCCTGTTACATGTTTTGTACTATTACACTTGTTGTCCTGTTACGTGTTTTGTACTGTTACATGTGTTGACCTGTTACGTGTTTTGTACTGTTAAATGTGTTATCTTTTTTATGTGTTTTTCCAAGTCAGGAAACTTTACCAAAGCACTTTACACTATATTAAGTCATCCACCCATTCACGCACACACTGATGGTGGGAAGATACATTGGAACAACTGCCCCAGGGGGTTGTACACAGGCCCTGCTGGGCCCTCTGACTGCCATCAGTGGGCAATGTGGCTAACGTGTCTTGCCCAAGGAGCAAACGACACAATCCTCCAGTTATAGGTTGAACTCTTGCATCCGACAGCACTGTTACCCAGTGGGTCTGGGTAACACTGAGGGAAATTTGCACATTTGATCGTCTGCAGCAAAGATCCTTTAACCAACTTCAGAAAGTTTAGCTTACAGCATGAATTAAAGGTGTTCTTTTTGATCACTGCCTTGATGGAAATGAGTCTGTGCAGCTTTGTGCCTGTTGCAAGTGTCGGGTACGCCCAGCTGTTTATCCTCCCTAATATGCAGAAACATCTGGAGCAGCCCAAGGCGCCTGCAAGGTACTGGTAATTATGTACTCCCCTGTCATTATCGGTGAAACGTCGCCTTTGTTTCACTGGTGTCTGACTTTATGCAGGTCCCATCTCTAACTTTGGTTGTTTGCTTCAGTTTTTGTTTAACATGAGGACACTCTGCAAAAATAATGTAAAAAAATAAATAAATACAAATTTAAAAAAATTATTGTTTTTGGGCTTAATCTGAGCAGTTTTTGATGATTTTCCAATGGAACAATTTTTTTCTTATTTTAAATGTGAATTTTCTTATTCCTTTGGCAAAGTGTCTCACTTCCCTCCTCAATTTAAGAAAGAAAATGTTTTGTTCTACGAAAAATTTACTTGCTTAGATAATTTGTTTGCAGTGTATCGCCGGAGCATCCAGACTGTTTCTACAAATATCTGTTAAAAAAAGGGTCACTCTCAGGATCTCAGTGAAATCCTGGGTGGTTCTGTTAAGAAGGCCCTCTGGGCTACAGATCTCGTCCATAGATCTCCACATCACCCTCATAGATGTTATGACAAAGTGGAGGGGACCTGGAACAATCAAAGCTTGGTCTGCAAATGCAGCAATGTGCAGGATCCCACCACCAGGCTGCAGACCAGAGGAGCATCTCTGAATGAAGTCAGGAACTGGTGGTTCCCAGGAGAACAGTGCTCATCTGACAAATACTCTTAGCAACATTTACATCAAAGGATTTGAGCCTTTTTCTATCAGGAGGGAGATTTCTAGAACAACTGATTGTTGAATATTTTCTGTAAGCACCAAAGGATGAGCTTTTTAAAAAATATTTTTATGTTGTCTTTTAAAAGGGGACGAATAAACTGTTTATCTGTAAAAGAGACAACGAGTCATCAAAAGACAATCAAAGAGGATAAAATCCCAAATCCTCTGAAGAATCTTCAGCAGAGAAAAGTTTCAGGGATCAAAACTTCAAGCAGAAACTTTCAGTTCCCTGACATGTGTTAGCTGAAGGGAGACGAAATGAGTGTCTGAGTGACAGACTGATGAGACCAGGCACAGGTCCATCCACCGCAGGCTTTAAAAAACACAAACAAAGGGAGGAGAACTGAAAGGAGGATGCAGGAAAGAGGAAGGAAGAGGACTTCAGGGAGAGGAAAACAGGCAGGTGACATATGGGTATGAATAAATTCATAGTAATCAAGCAGCCAAACACCTCATCTAATCTGCTCTCTGGTAGAGCGACACTGAGGCAGCGAGGCAGGAGGAGAGAGCGAGCCGTTGGAGCAAAGCTGGAATTCCCTCCTGTCTGCCGGCCCACATTATCTCCGGCAGCGCCTGGAACCGAAGAGGCAGGAGCCACGGCCAAGGCTGCCAGAGCTAGGCCAGTTATTGGATTGGAGCGCGTTGGAGAATCAGAGCTGGACAAGGGCAGCCAGAAGCCTGGGCTCTCAGACTGTAGGTGTTCCTGCTGCTTTCCAGCATGTGTCTGCGCCCACGCCACAGTTTGCACATAACCGGGCTGGCAGACAGCAGGCAAACAGCGCTGAAACCAAAACACAGACGGGCCAAAACTCAGCTGTTAGCCAGGTGGGAGGATCTGATCGCCTTTACAGGCAA